TAGCAAATCTTTTCGCGGTCCATAGTCACTTATCCTAAGTCGATAATTGTAAATATGCTCAGTCACACATTTATGATCATCTTATTTAGAGAAAGTTGATGTTATGCAGTAGGTAACTGGTTTTTTATTGCCGTAAACATCTCGACACGATTTATTATATAATTTGAGGTAAAAAACTGATCGAGCTTAACTTGGGTCATTGGCATAGTGATACCTCTAACTCTGTGATCTAGAATCTAGATTATGACATACATATAATGCGCTGTAATTAAAAGATTGCAGATAGATAATTTGTTATTTCCTAGGTAATTAAATGGTGCGTGCATGTATATGACTTATGCTATATACTTAAAATCTCAACCGATCTGTGTCACTATTTTGTTTAAAAATTGTAATAAATATAGTTGTTAAACATTTCATTATGAAATTGTATTCGACGTTTTCTGTACACATGGCCAAGCAATACAAATTCCTGGATATTATATTTGTATCTAATGGTTAAACCATTTCTGAATAATTCATTTTTTTGCAGTAACCGTTGTACCCTTTCTTAGTATCTTTCACCATTTACAAACAATTGAAAATGTTTGTACTTGAATTTAGTAATATTATAAAAATTGTAAAGGAATAATTTTTTATAAAAGACCATTCCAATTTTTATCAAAATCACTTGATCTCCTTGTGAAAGTAGTTATTTTAATTAGTATGTTGAATTTGTTGTATTTTTTTTTAAAGATAGATATTTAAAATTAATACTATCATAATAAATTATAACCAAAACCAAATCGAGCTAAAAATCCTGAAAAACAAAATATTTCTGTTAAAGATCGTTCCAATTATCCAACTATTGGACTACAATAGTTAAAGTTGCCATTGACTTTTAATCGTTAATTTAATTTAACACGTTGATCGCCATGTCCAGTCATATGTGTCTGACACTAAGAACTACATGAGCCATTTCTGACATACTAGACTCTAGACTTTGGTAGGAGAAAAAAGATTTTAATATAGCCATGTTAGTAATATACTGTGACATAAAAAAGCGTTTTTCTAGGAATTTGGCAAAAATTTTTTGATACATTACTATCTAATGAAGTTACCATGGCCCAAGTCTGATATTATCGTGGTGATTAACGATAACTAGTGCATGCATCGTGCCTTAAGGCAAATTAATGAAACTCCCGTACGAAAAATTAAATTTTTGAAAAAAGTCCATTTTTTAGAACTCTGAAAAATAGATTTTTGAGACTTTTAATTTTTTGAAGAAAATGACCATTTTCAAAAATTTGATTTTTCTATATTTTGGAAATTTTGAAACTTTTTTCAAAGCAATCGCGATACGTTAGCTTATTATTAAAATATAATACAATATGTGATAATTTGATGTGCATATGTCTAGTCGATCATTTTCTGTCCGCCAAATAGACCTGCCTTTCCAAAATTTCACCAGTCCAATTTCATTTCATCAACACAAATAAAATATTTTTCGAATCATTCAAATTGGACGCTCGTTTCTCTCATAAATTAAATAAACATTTTTGGCACTTTTTGGCCCGTATCTTGTTTTTTGTAGCATTCAGATTGATTGATCCGTGTTCTCGAAATCGTCGGACGAAAAATTGTTTCCGCACATACACACACACACAGATACATCCATTTTTGCTGAGGTATGCCAAAATGTTCAGAAACCTCTGAAACGTAAAGATATATAAAACTTTTCATTTTTGATTTTTTTTTGCGATTACTATAACTTACCCTACGGAAGTTAAAGTTGTATCCATATATACATACACACACACATCAATTTTTTCTGAGATATGCCAAAATGTTCAGAAACCTTCAAAACGTAATAAAATGTAAAATTTCTCAATTCGATTTTTGGACGATTACAATACGGGAAGCTAATGAAGTTACTATGACCCAAATTTCAATAATTTAATATTTTTTCAAAAATAGATTCTTAAGTTCAATAATATTTCAATAAACTATAATCGAATCGATATTTAAATGAAAATTGTTCCAATTTTTAGGCAGTAGTTATTCTTGTTAGCAAGTTCAACCCTAGAATGGTATCGCGCTTTTTTGTGTACAAGTGATGTATTAAACGTCTTTTGTATATACTTTGTGATATCATCATAGGTTATTTAAAAAAATATGCAACTTTGATTTAGTAACAAATAATCTTTTTAATTTTTCAAAATTTCCATAACAAAAGTACTGACACCATTCATTATTGTATGCATGTATGCCTCGGAGGCGAACAGATACCGTTCTAGGGTTAAATAGTTCGAAAAATTAGATACTTAAGTTTAGATACCTAAAACTCAGACTTGAACATTTCTAACAAAATATATTATCGTCCGATAGTTTTTTAAATTATTTATTAATATTTATTTATTATCTTCCAGTGGACGATGCAATGGGTCGCTACGGGTCAGCATTTCTATGGGGCGATGGATATTGGACAGGCAGCGAAGCACTTTGCTCAAATATTCACGACCCTCTCAACAACGATGAAGAGATACCACCGTTTCCCATATCCTTCTACATGCTCAAATTGCTGGTCAATAAAACCGTAATAACTCAGGTTAGACCCGATAATATATTAGATGAACTTAAGATAATACTTCATTCCTTCTAAAGGGATTAATGACCCTTTAGAGATAAAATATAGACTATTTAAGCTTGTTGATATTTGTTATGAGATATCAACCTTTTGCATTCTAAGCATATTTTCATAACTATTAATATAAGAAATATCTCAAAATTAAGGACCAATTGAAATTTCCAATGCATTAAAAACCGACCTTCAAATTCAATATCCATATCATCAATATCTATTAGTTCCCTAGAAAAATCTATTTCCTCACTAATGAGTATAGACAAATTCCGAAATTCACTTGCACAATTTTTAGTATAATCCATTGCAATGGAATTCCTATCACGAAAGTCACGCCAATTTCATGAAATTTAAGATTCACAATATCTTCTTGTGAAATTTAGAAATAGCGCATACCTTGCCAAGTAAGTTCTTCAGAACAAAGATCAACATTGGTACACATACCTCGGTGATTACCAATAAGGCGTTATTAGTTTTGACATTACATGTAATGTGATGAAACTGAAGATATTTATAGTATGGAAATATATACTTAGATGATTCAAATTGAACCAGGAATGAATGATTTATAGAACGGTAAATATCTATTGTAATTTAAAAGAAATTCAGCGAGGAAAAAGTATTGTTGATACCTATTTGCAAAAAAGGATGAGAAAAATTTGTCAACGTTTCGTCAGTTTCGTCAAAATCCTTAAAAGAGATTTGATATTCGCACTGATTAATTTCATGATATTACATATATTATGTGTTGGCATCCAACGTTTAATTGTCCAATTTATAATATTTGTTTTTTTCATATTTTAACAGCAATCAGAACCTAACGACCTAAAGGGTTGGGCTGAAACGTCTTACGCCTTAGAAGTATACCAATAGGTAACCCAATGGTTGATCCATCCATATTTGATTTTTTTGATGCAGCAAAACCTGGGAAGGGATATTTTAACCAGGAAACGTATTTAAGATCTAGAAAATAGAAATCAATGTAAATAAAAATACAATTTATTTTCACTATTATAATAATGGCTGCTCTGATAAAAAGCTTGTTCATATTGTAAGGCAACTTGTATCATTGGTATATTAATTTATGAGGCAAAAGTTGGTTTATATAATTATCAATAATTTAGCAAATCTTCAAAAATTATATGCATTTACATCATAGCATTGAAAAAGTTTATTGATACCTTTATCAACTGATTGAAATTGGTCTATGATTTTAATTAAATTTAGTAATTTATTTTACTAAATTAAATTGCATTGTTAACGTCATTTCAAAAAAATTAAAAAAGCAATCGACAGCATTGCAATATAAAAATCTATTATTCTTTGCATTTATTACCTACAATGTATGAAGAAAAACTCTCTCGTTTTATCGTTTCTGCAATATCTATTTGTTATGACTTTGTATAGAAGACTTTGGATGGATGGATTGCACAACGTACGTTATTCAAATGTTACAACAAGAATCCATAAACAATAATGCCTCGAGCGAAACATATTGAGTTGTAAATTACTCATTGAAATTTTTATTTTTAAGTATCGAGATTGGCAACGTTTATTCTTTACAAGTTTTACAACGTATTCCAATATAAAATTGTTGGAAAAGAAAAACCTATGTATGAATATATTGACTATATAGTGTATTGCAAAATTCATGACTTGAAATAAATTAACTTTTAATATCCCTGTTGGACTAGATTTAGTATAGAAACAGTTTCTTATATTAAATCTATAGAGTTTCTTAATACTCTCGTCATGGAAAAGTGTCAGAATTTTGTCTATTGACGATTATATTCATCATGCGTATAAAGCAGTGACTATGGACTATTGACCATTTAAATTGCAGTTTTGAGAAAAATATTCAGAAATATTCTGAAGCTAAGAGGGTTAAAATACATAGCTGTAAGTAACATTTTACTTAAAAAAAACTTCTATGAACTTTCACATGGGTAAATGATTGACATTATCAATAAGAATTGAGATACATCTATGTAGCTAAAAAAAACTGAAAATAAAATTTTTTACGATGTTCGCTTGATAGCAGAATTATTGAATTCTTACTTTCATACTTATAATATTTCATTGAAATTTTCAGAAAGAATCCTGAAGAACTTAAATATTCACTACGACTTATCATCACATTGTTTAATAAATATCATATATAACTTTGGTCTGATCCTTATATGCGAATCAATAAAAATAAGCCCATCTAGAGAAATTTTTTCAATGTCTATGGTTTCTATATTTCTTTTCTAATTATAATCAAATTTTATTATTTCAGAATCAAGAACGGACAATCCATCTAGGAATGTGTCTTCCGCATTCGTGTACTCCCGAAGAAGTCCACTTTGTGGTAGACGAAGTTACCGCAGATGGTAAATTCAAACTTGAAGGAGTCAGATCGCCTGCACATTTGTATTTTGATGTATGGCAGGATAATACATTCTGCTTATTATGGTAAATATGATTATAGATAAGAAACTAGGTATAAGTGGCATTTTGTCGTTAAGGGAATGTGCATGAACTTTCCCATGTAGAAAATAGAGAAGATTGACATCTATTTCAATACTTGAAACAGTGATATTATAATTATATATCATTGGTACAAAAATTGGTATAATCAACCAACCAGAAACCAAGTTTTTCCAAAAATCAATCATCGCATTAACAAACTGACTATTTGAATTTGTTTTAAATCGGCTAGAATTTTCTAGGAAAACATAGATGAAGAAAAGTTTCGGTCTTTTATTAACATAACACAAATCAATAATTAAAGCTAGTAATTTTTTTGGAAATTTACCAAAAAATCTAAAAAAAAACCTGATTTCGTGAGTTATGTTTATCATATGCTTATATTATTTTATTGTTGTTTACTAAATTTATTATTAAAGTTCATTGTATATTAATCGTGTCACGGACTCTATAAATGCGACAGCTCATATAAATGTATATAATTTTTTATTTGAAAATAGAAATAAATCACTAGTTGTTACATGCACGCATATACGTTTTGTTTGTAGGTTTAAATTGAATACATCAAAAAATTAGAATGTGTTATTTCATTACGGTGTCATAATCAATTTACATAGAAAAATTAGGTTACTTTTATTAACACTTCAATAAAAATTTGCAATTGTTTACAATTTTAGTTCAATTTAAAATATTCCAGAAATTTAATATTAAAACAAACGCTAATATGGATTTGCATCTTAGAGACTTAGATAGAAAAAATTAAAACTGGCTTTTGCAAAGTTCTCTTTTTTTTGATAATTTTTTAAATATTTAATATATATTGGTCTTAATGCGTTGTGCAGAATTAACTATTGAGCAAGTATTAGTAAAATTATGAAATTTCTTTTTTAATTTTAAACTCCATTAAAAAGTTATAATTAATTTCCAATATAAAGTTAAGATTCGTTTTTACCATAATTCTACATAAAAACTTGCCCAGGTCAACATTTAACTATGTTATTCGTTAACAAACAAATTTAAATATCGAATACCATTGATATGATGTAACAGATAAACAACAGAAACTCTTTTACATCAAATGTGATAGTTACATTTCTAAAAATTTACACTTTTTATATAATTTTTTTGTATGAACTAGACGTGTTATGCAATGCGGGTTTATTTAAAAATTCCGAACAAAAAATAACTCGTTATGCAAACTTCAACAAAAACAACATAGACCTACTTTAGAGTATGAAGTCCATCATAGTAAATTGTAATTGTAGTTTAAAAAAAATAATCTTGATAAAACTACATAAGTAAGGACTTTGAAATATTGCAAATTAGATTGATCGGTGGCCAAAAGCCAAAAAAAATCTAGCACACCACAAATATATAAAAAAGGGCAAATTAATACCGAACCCAAGCCTTGACTCATGTGGCCACCTGTGTTGTATTTGTTTTAAAGCTTAGAAATAAAATTAATAAAATAATAAATAATTTCAGAATTAAATTATAAGTAATATCTAAACAGATTTTTTTTTTGTAATTTCATCTTCTTAATTTATGTAATTATTTCTTCTAGCGCCGCCTGCGTTGTAGTATCAGTTTTACTAATTTGTGGATCAGCCTATGATTTATACCTCAGAAAAAGGAAGGCTGCCAAATTATCGGAAAAGGATGCAGGATCTGATATCGATTCAGCAAAATATAATAATTTATGTGATTCAGGACAAGTCACTTTGGAAATCAATGGAGGACTCAAAGAAACCCAACGTAAGGATCAAATTTGATTATGTATTGCTTATTGTATATCCAAAAGTAATTTAGGAATAGACTCAAATTTATCTATGAACCGTTACCTACTAACTGTGTTTAAAATTATTTAGTGGCATATGATTATAATGATCTTTGGGTACTCATTAATATAGAATATTAATTCATTGAAGTGTTTCTAGATAAAAAACGCGTCTATTGCGAAAATAATAACAACCTTGAAGAAGATATGAATACTCCAGATGTAGCAATGAAAAAGAATCACCCAGTCAGAAGTAAGTATACATATTCAATTATTATCATATTTTTGATTTCTTATGAATAATCAAACTCAAAAGTTAATTAAAAAATTATTATAAAACTAGTTGGTATTAGTATTTTGCCTTGAGGCAAGTTACATCAACTTCCCGATATGTGTAAATAATCGATTTAATCAATAAAAAATAAATTAATTTATGAGTGAATAAAAGAATTCCGAGTGGATTTATTACACATAATTGAAAACAAACGAACACGCTGACTAGGAGTATTTTCTAAAAGCAAATTTTCAAAAATCAATAATTTTTATAATTGATTCAGTTTCCGTAAGACTTTAATGGTTTAGTATGTTCATCAAGACCAAGTACTCTATCGTTATACTATGTAAATCGTCTAGTTTTAATTTTAACAAACGCCAAAAAACTATTCATTTTCTCAAACTTTGATGAATTTTAAAAATTAAACGACTTATCGTAAGAGCGAAATATTTCAGTAAATTCCATAAGACAATGAATTATATCGCCAAAAGAAGTTCCATAAAAATAGTCTTAATTTTTTTTTCAACAGTTAATCACAAGAAAACGGCTAGGTAGATTTTCACCTAAAACTAATCAGTATCATTCCCAACTAATATCTTTCGAACAGTTTTTGATTTTTTAAAATCGATTCGGTATTATGAGCTTAAATGTGGACGAAAAGTTTAACACTTTTTTCCAAATTACAAAAAAACGACTCGGTAGATCGCCGCTCAAAACTGAAAAACAATAATCCTCATCGAGATACATCGAATGGCTTTTAAATTCCTGAAATCGGTCCAGGCGTTTATCAATTTCTGCAAACTTTGAAAAAAAATTAAAATTAAACGACTCATCGTAGAACAAAATTGATTCAAAATTGCGGGCTAAAACGTGGACAATTTTTTTTCACTTTTCTGCGAATTACAAAGAAACGGCTTGGCCGATCGTCGCACAAAATTGATAAACGCTAGTTCTCATCGAAATAAATTGAATGGCTTTTAAATTTTGAATCGGTCCAGTCGTTTTCCAAAAAAAACGTCGATTTACGGCAAAAAATTTGTTCACACACACACATACTTTTTCCAAATTTGGTCTCATTCGAATCAGAATGGCTTGAAACATCGAGAAAACATAAAATTAGCGAATCGGATTTTTTTATGAAAACATAAACTTCGCTTTCGGAATAGTAATAAACCAGGCGTAGGTGAAATTTTGCCTTACAAAATGTTGTAATACCTTCCCGATATGTTCAAATAATGGACTTTATAAATAAAAATTGAGATTAAGCAACTTCTAAAATTGTTATGATAAAAATTTGTAATTAGACTTGGTCCAATGTTCAGTTAATGAATTTTCATAACTAAACCTCATTTCCCAGCCCCATAATATTTTAGAATGTTCGTTGAGATCATAAACTATATCATCATTCATATAGTATCATCAAATAGCTTTTGAATTTTTGAAATCGGTTGTAGACACAGACGAAAATTTTTGCTAACAAATTTTGGCTAACATACACACACATCTATTTACTTATAATAAAATAAATAAAGTTCATAAGTGAATCATTCTGCATATTTAAATAAATATTATCTTCTGTTTCAGATATTTTCTCCGAATTACTTCTGGCCTTCTCCGTGCCAACCAACGTCGCTTCAATCTGCGACCAGACCGTCGGAAGTGATACCCTGCCCACCATCCATGGACTCAGGAGCATTTCAATGGCCTGGGTCATCTTGGGTCACACTTGCATCGTAGCATTTAAATATGCAGATAACCCGGAATATAGAAGATTAGTGGAACGAGAACTTTTGTTTAAAACAATAACTAATGCCACATATAGCGTGGACACGTTCTTCTTTATAAGGTACCTGATATATAAGATCACTTTCTGATCAAATCATTTGATTGCAATATATTATACTCAAAATTAAGATGAAAACCAGGTGCTCAATTTTTTTACAAAAATCAAACCTTTATACATATAATAATAATAATAAATGGTAGTCTGCCCGAAGGCAGGTCTATGGTGTGAGAACCACCACAACAATTGATTTCCTTGCCCTTCATCCCATTAGCACTATTCTCTATACCCATATTTTTTATGTATTTTTCTTTCCAAATTTCTGTTTCCATGCTTCTTGATCATGTGCTTCGGTTTTCAGTTCCCTGTATTTTTATACATATATAGATTATTAAATGTCTTTCATGTTATCTAATATTCTTTTTGCAGTGGTCTCTTGGTATCATTTCTCTACTTCCGAACAAACGCCAAAGGTAAACTGGACAAACTTATTAAAGGCAAGAATTGTTTCGGAGCTGGTGTACTCCAATTCCTAGGACTTTTAGCATATAGATTCGCCAGGTAATCAGAATTAGCTGAAATACTAATTAGTGGTATCTAAAAAATTATAGCTCTATTACCAATTTGCGTATTTTCAGATTAACAGCTCCTTACTTGTTCGTTCTGGGCGTAGTAGAAGTCACAATGAAATGGTTTTACTACAACTCATTGTTTGAACCGCCTACTTTAGATCACATAAATTGTGCTCAATATAGCTGGAGAAACATACTATACATCAACACTTTGTTCCCAGTCGAGGAAATGGTAAAAATATTTGCAGTAAAGAATAACACCAAAATTTCCTTAATTGGATTGTTTATATTTTGTAGTGCATGCTTTGGAGTTGGTACTTGGCTGATGACACGCAATTCTACGTTATTGGATCAATTATTTTAATTATTGCCACGAGGTAAGTAGTAATAAAAAAAGAAAATAAACAAGCAAGCAATTAGTTTATTTTTAAATTGTGTTCTCGCAGCCACTTAAGGACGGCATTTTCTGGTTTGGTAATTCTCATGATGTCTTCGTGGGTGACCACTGCCTTTATTGCTTACGACAGTTCGCATATTCCAAATAGCAATGATCCATTATCACAATTTGATAAAATCTACGACAAACCGTGGACCCGTTTAGGTCCTTATTTAGTTGGAATGTCCGTCGGTTGGCTTCTGTTCAAGACTAATTGCAAAATCAAAATGCCAAAGGTAAGGATGGAATTTGAGAAACAAGGACTATGAGAATCATTTCTTAACAATAATTCCTTTTCCTATTGTTATTGAATAGGTGGTGGCACTTATCGGTTGGATATTATCAGCAGCTGGAATGCTGTTTTTGATTTATGGCCTGCACAATGTTACTTTATCAGAAATTACATCTGCAGCCTATAGTTCCCTATGTCATACATTCTGGGCAGTATGTTTAGGATGGATTATCGTAGCGTGTTCTACTGGATATGGAGGTAACTTCTAGATAAAATCGATTAATTCAAAAGTTCGATTTATAGTTTGTTTACGGTGATGTTTGGTTCTAGGTGTTATAAATTCAATTTTATCATGGACGGCCCTTTACCCATTCAGTAGAGTAACATATTGCGCATATTTGATACATCCTATAATCATTCGTCTATTGCCAATGTACTCCGACGCTCCATTGCATCTAGGAAAATGCGCTGTGGTAAGTTAGAACGTATGTTTGAAATTTAGATTTTATAATTTTTTTATACATTATATATGCAGTATGTATTTACTCCTCGCCAAAACTTTTATTTACTTGAAATGATTCCGCGGATGTAAATCACACTAATTTTAATAGTGATATATTCACTGCAATTATATGGTCGCAGATTTTGATTTTTTATCTTTCCGTAGGGTAAGTTCTAGTAATAGCAAAAAAAATCGAAAATAATTTTTTTGCATATCTTCACGTTTCTAAGGTTTCTGAACATTTTGGCATACCTCAGAAAAAATGAATGCATGTGTGTGACTGAAAAAAAATGATGTATTCATTGTTCAAAATTTATGGAATATTAATTTTTTTGCTCAAATATTCAATTGTGGTACGGGAAGTTGCCTTAAGGCACGATGCCAATCACCACTAGTTAAAAACTTCATCAAATATCTGATAAATCGATGTGCATAAGTCTAGTGTTCATTTTTGACCACCGATTATCATTTTTTTTTACATTTTCCTCTGTATCTCCGAAATCTCCGAATTCATCATTTCGTCAATACAAGTAAAAAATTTTTTGAATCATTCGAATCGAAGAAATATATCCTAAGATGGATTCATTCGGCACCTTCTGCTAATGTAAACTTTCTCAAGTGCTTTGAGCGATAAGATCCTCACTGTAAATTTTATGAACGATAAAATATATAGTGATCATAATGATCTATTTGAAAATGTACAAAACAATTGTTGTAAATCATTGATAAATTTTTATTGATTACTGATTTTTTTCCTCGAATATATAATTCTGGTACGGGAAGTTCCAGCAATTTGCCTCAAGGCACGATGCCATACACCACTAGTTTTATTATTTCTATTATTATATTCTAGATAATTCTATATCTTGGACAAGCAGTAATGTCCTACGTTCTGGCATTTGTGATATCCGTTTCCTTCGAAGCGCCAGTTGTGTCCATGCTCAAAATTCTATCACCAAATCGCAGAAAAAAGTGTTAGATCTGATGTGATCAGTTCCAAATAATTATTTTAGATAGATTAAGTTTTGTTGTAAGATTTGTATGTTTTACAAAACGTTATTTATAAGAGACTGTTTTATACAGAAATTGTTTGTGCTATTCGCGCGTCTTGTTTTAGTTATTGTTATAATTATTATTAAGAATGAACGTGAAAATATTGGTAAATGATAGGATGCATTCATTGCTAAATTCTTTTATATCTATATCATATCAAAGATTTACTTGAAACACTGAAGAAATATCTGCACAATTAATAACTTAGGATTATTTACAACGAGCAACAAAAACCCATTTTTATTGCATTTATTTCAGGAAAATTTATATTTTCCTCTGTTAAGTGAAATCAACTTGTGAGAAAGTTGCACTAATAAAAATACTCTTTATATATTTACAAGTATAATTTAATGATAAAAATCGTAATACCCGATTGAGTATTGAGAAAAAATTGCAAATTATTGTAAGTAAATATAATTAATTATATGAAAATCCAAATGAAGTTCAAGATTATTATCCAAAATTCAACAAATAAAAATACTTCCAGTTCATACTATTGTGTTTACACAACAGTTCATCGATGTGTAAAAAATATAATATTTCTTACACATGCAATATTTGAAAAGGTTATTCAATATTATGTTACAAGACTGATATGTAGTCTAATTATAGCAAACTTGAATTTAAAAACGTTGCTAATGAGTTACATATTTATCAAATTGATTTTATACAAAAAATAATATACAAAAGTGGTGACGAATGAATGTTATGTTATATTATTAGTATAGTATTAGTAATTTTATAATATTATATTATATTTTATGTCATGCTTGCTTGTAAAACTTTGTATAGTAAATTTAGAATTTAGTTGTGATATAAATTAAACCTATTGTGTGAATTCTAATCATAAGTGAATATATTTACGAATAATGAACAATTATTTTACTATATTGCATTTATGTTACTTATAACGATGTTGGCAATTATTTTGTACAAATATGATTTACATTAATTAAATCGTTTCACATTTGATTTTAAATTCAGCAATGGCAGTATAGTAGAAATTTTATTTGTAATTGAATTATTGTATTTTTATATAATTTTAATAAATTTATTTAATAAATTGTTTGTGTTAATTAAATAAGTTTTATATAACAAAAAATGTATTTCAATGGATTCAAAGAATCCATTCAATTGAGTCAATACACAAAACTTTGCCACTTCCACTTGATCATTTTTCGTTGCCACAAATTACTGGTTGATAAAAGAATTATTAATCAATCAAAAAATATGCACGAGCAATCTATTACTCCAAATGCTAAAGTATTATTAAAATTCACTACCTTTTATAAGTGTTAATTTAATATATTAATTCAACACGAAAAATACATAATTTATATATTTATTTTAAAAAATTAGTTGTTTTTACATTATAAGCAATCTTATATAAAATATTAAAACATAAATGCAACTTCTGTATAAGACAAGTGAACAAAAAGATCTGCTTTGTATTCTCGTTCATAATAACACTTGCACAAAGCTATTTTAAAAATTCTAAGAAAATATATTTTTACAAAATTTTAAAACACAATTTTATATGTCTAAAACTATTGAACACTTATCATTAAGTATTTTATGTATTAAAACGTTTATGGCTGCTTACTATTTCACCGGAACAAACTGTATCAAACGCTTTATTCTTCGTAATAAGCTTTCTATAAAGCAAATATCAGCAGGAGGAAGATCCTATAATAAATGTTTTGTGAATAACAATTTATTGGTTTTATCTAATTTGCCAACAAATCATTTAAATTTATTAAAAAATACTTACCAAGCTTATTGTAATTAAATAATCAAAACTCTTAAATATATCAACACCTATTGTAAAATATATCTGGGGGTAAAACAAACAAACTTTTAAAATTTTGAACAAATGGATTTGTTAAAATCACTGCCAAATTAGGCAAATAACGAATAGTCGTAGTCGTTTTAAATTTCATTTGTTTATATAGTGTCTAAACACAGAAGGACCCTAGCTCAATTTTTCCAAATTGATAGCAACAAAGATAACAGATATTTTTATCCGCAATATTGTTTACAAAATACGTTTTTTACGATTGTTTATAACGGAAATCAATTTTTAAAGCATGCCAATAAAGTTTTTTTTAACTAACCTGTGTTGTCGTTAGCAAATCTTTGCAAAATTTTTCATTCAAAACTCCCACTAAACCTTGGCTGAGTTGACTGACTTCTTTATTTGTAATATTCCATGATACTTCACCTGCGGATGGTATTGTGTCTGCAAAAAAATAAAAGAAACATTGTAATAATACAGCTTTAAAGATAAATTCTACAAAATTCATATAAATATTATAATACTAATAACAAATATGATTTAATGCAATGCATATTAAATAAAGAAAACTAGAGAAAGTCTTATTTTAATAACAAATAAATGTTGAATACTAACTGTTTATAAAAGTTGGATAATTATTGGGAATTGATCTCAACATGTAGTAGTCCAAATGAGCCCATATTAAGTAGAGACAATTCTCTATTAAAAATGTAATTTGAGATAATTCTTGCTGCTTCAATGTCACCTGGGTGGTCAATACTTCCAAAGCTATCTCCCGCCCTTGTGCTACAGCTACCATTTCTGAACGATCAGGTAAATATTCAGATAATTCTAAAATATAAATGAAATTGTTATATAAAGCAGTTTTATTACACGAATAAATTTCATGTTGATAACAATTGAGATGATCACATAAAGCTACCTGCAGTACTCATATCTGGAACATTCTTCAACTGTTTCATAAGATATTTCAAAGCATTCTGTTCTTTTAAAAAATATTGAATACTGTATGACAATTGCTTGATCAGAATTCCAATATTTGGACCTTGCTCCAAGTTTCCATAGCCTCCTGACTTTTCTGAACCCGAAGAAATATTATCATAGAGACAAGGTAAAAACAATACACCAACCGAATGGTGATCTACACTGTTATTTGCTATCACATTCCTAGAATACAAACATAGATTGCATGCTATTTCAACGATTTTTATTAATCTGTTTGCTTTAATTTCGTTATTTTTCTCTTCGATAATGGAATTATATACATCTACAACTTTCTTGTTCGGAGGCATGTTTCTCATCAAAGCATCAGACAGAACAAATCTTGGCAAAAGTGTTAGCATAATTCGCTGCAATCGGAATAATTGAACAGATTGTTCCTGACTTGCTTGTTTTATTTCTAAATTGGCACTTCGAGCTATAACACTTGTGAGGTGAGCAAGTTCGTTCAAGTATCCTAGTTCCATAAATGGATTTCCTGCACGCAAAATGATTTCAACAGTATCAAAGTGACTGAATATAAAATTGTGCACTTGCAATATTACTGAATTATTATCAGTATTTAAAGTAGTTAATATTGTGTTGCACAAATTCAGAGCTGGAAACAAAATTTGCTGAAACCTATGTGATAAGGAAGGTATAAAAGATGCTGCAGACTCATTATTGCTAAGTGTTTGTGGTTCAGGTCTTAAATCAAATATTCTCATAGTAGAAAGACAAGCTAAGGCGTTCTGCTCTAGTAAAAGTTCAGCACCAATGTGTGTTGACGCGATTCTTCCCAATAAAGCCATTTTTGATTCATACAAATATAAAGGCTTCATATTAGTAGGTTTAATTTGTAGTGTTTGGATCAAATCATTATCACTTTCAATTAAACTATCAATCATATGTTTTAAGTAGCCTTTTCTCGATAAATATGATATACACATTGAGTGAGCATTGAGATCGATCAATGTGTTTAGGCAACATAAAGCTAGCATTCTGCTTATATCATGACCATTTGTTAAATCATGACATAAAATATTTATAAAACGATCTCCATTGTTTGAGATAACGTTTACTGCCATTTCTTTTAATGTTGATTCTTCAGATGATACTATGTCCACTCTAGAACTATCCAATCTTCCAACATAACCAGTGTCGTGGGTTTCCACATCAATTTTACTATTAGCATGCTGTGACTTTATCAAATGAATAACATTTAAGAATGCACCATATAAGTTAATTCTTAACTTTTGTAAATCTATTCCAGACACAGTCATCCACTGAAGTATGTGTTCTAAAATATATTTTATACTCAAAGTATTTGTAGTGATATTTGTATCAGTAGCAACTGATGATTCAAAATCTTTTCTCAAAATTTTTTGCTTATGTTTTAAAATATAACAATGCCTTAAATTTATCAAGAGCATCAACAAACAGGTTGACGATACATTTGAGAGGTCTTTCAAAACTGAGCCTTTAACAGATTTTTTCAATATAATTTGTGCAATCTCCAATAAAAGGACCTGCCTGACATCATTATTCAGAGCATCAGGAGGAGCAACAGAAAATACAATTTCTGTCATTTGTCGCCAAGAATCCATGTAATTCACAGTTGCAGCACATAAAAGTTTGTGATTATTGTACTGTATGGCATATTTTAATACTTGCTCGATTTCTTGAATAATTAACTGCCTTTGTCCTATAACTGTTGTGCTTTGTATAGTTGATAACTCATTCATCAAAGTTCTGTGTAACAATTTGATATTAACTAGTTTTGGAGACCCTGGCATAGACACAGAACAATTTTTAAAAATTACTTCAAGCATTGATATATCAAAGAATTCCCATTGTGGTGAATGTAATTCAGACAAATTAAAATTTAGATGATTCAATAGGTCAGTTAATAAATGTTGCGTTTTATCGTTAGGAGTAACTGACTGATTAAAAGTGCAATAGTGACTTAATTCTGTCAACGGAGTATTTTGTGCCTCCTTATTTGCTTCTGTTGATAGTCCAAGCAAAACCTTTGAAATATTTGCAAACTGTGAACTATGATGATTCTTGGCAGTAATTTTCAATTCAATTGCAGCAGTTTTCATTAGCCATGACATCTGATTTAAAGCTGCTGAAACATCATTGTCCTCGAAAGGTAATGCTGACAAATGTCGGCTTAAAAAGTCACTACAAGATCTTAAAAATCTTAAGACTGGTTCTGATGTTTTCAAGTTTGCACAGAGCATGTACAGCATTTGATAAGCTGCTTTCAATAAACTTCCAGTAGGGCGATTGCATTTGCTTTTATCAATTCCGGAGTCTAATAAAAATATAAGTGAATGCAAACAAGTTCTAGGAAAACCTAACATACCAGCTTGTTGAAAAGATGTTTTTTCTATATTCTTTGATATATCAAAACCAAGCAAATAATGAGCTAAATTTGGTGGTGCATGATTCAGACATTGTTGCAACAATTTCAAAATAGCTTCCTTAGTATCATTGATGATTGCAGAATCTGCATCATCTTCACCTGTATAATCATCATTTTCTAAACACTCCACAAAACCGTGACGTATATCTGTTTTAATACTGGGAGATTGAGTGAAAACACTTAATAATTGCATATTGGAAGAAGGCACTGTAGTAATCCATAGTAAAATCTTCACAGCAGAATATGAATGTTTTGGTAACCAATTGTATGTAGTGTATTTAGCAATATTCAACATATGATCAGGTTTTCCGGTTCTAGGATTAATATCAAGCAGTAATTTACTGGCATGAGTCAATAGCAATGAGCTACCAGTAGATGATAATAAAGCAAAGAAACTTGCTTGTAAATCCAGAGTTCTATTAATTAAATTTAAACAACTAAGTACAGTGTTCTCCAAATGTGTTTTTCCCGGAAAAGGATGATAAGCATCCAAAATTTGACATGATTCATCTAATATATATAACAGGATTCGTAAAAACTCAGACTTTGTATTCATTTGAATCATAATGTGAAAACCTGGTGGTGGATTAGATGTTTGTGGTTTTCCTGATATTGGAAAATCTTCTGCTTGTGGCTCATATTGATCAAGATATCTTTCTAAAAGCATCATGCATTCTTCAGCAATCTGGAAGCCAATTATACAAAAAAAAATAGTTGAAAAATCATGATAAGCATCCAAATTTTTAAACCATTCTCTATCAACCTTATTATAAATAAAAAATTATATGTGCCAAAAAATACTAATTCATATCATTACATACCTGCCATTTCTCTTCAGGAACCTTATAAGGTCTAGAATTAAACTTCAAAAACACTGACTCAACAATAAAGCTCAAATATGGGTCAAATCCTGGAATTCTGGTTCCTGCACCTAAATTCTTGGGAATGCCGCTCCCAGAGATTATCAGAAGAAGATGAAGAAAAGCTCTTGTTAAAGGGTATTGTTCATCACGTGATTCAATCTCATCTAGCTCAGTTTGAATACCACGAGGCTTATAGCTGGATGTTGATTGAATTGTTGTCAGAATTTGAGCATTTTCTATGTGACCCCAAAGTTGTACAGAAGTCTGTGGTGATTTTCCTAAATAAGCTAAAGTACGTAATAATTCAGCTTTGAAATAAACAGGAACGGAGCAAGTTACTAGTCCTGAAAATTAATACATTGTTAGAAATATAATGAATAAGTTAGTTATAGAATAATTTGATCATTGTCACGAAATGTAATAAAATGCCTACCTAACAAAATTTGCATAGGTGACCAAGCTGGATGTTCGCAGAGTGCAGTTCGAGCCATATCATCATGTTTAGCAACATTTTGCATCAATTTCAAAACAGACATTAAGGCTGTGATTTCACGAGGCTGAATACCACTAATCAAACGACCGGATCGCTGCATATATGCCATATCAGAACGAGGCACTTGTATTTGACGTAAATTGCTATAAATAAACAGACAAAAAAATATAATCACATTTCGTATAATATTTGACGAAATTATTTATTTTGTACCTATAATAACGATGCAATGAGCTGAAAAAATGGTCCCAAGAAACAGACATTCCGCTACCTTGATTATTCATTTTGAGCAAATTAAATGCTTGTCTTGCAGCCACTGGACAATTTGCTAAAGATGTTATCATATCTAAATATGATTGAAGCAAACTGCTTGGGATCAAATCACCAGCTAATCGAACAAATTTGAAAAGTGCAACAGTGTGTCCATTAATCCTAAAAACAATATTTTTATGTACACATTTTCATAACTAAAAATAAAATACCTATTAAATGATATAAAAAATTATTGGGCGGTATCTTATTAACAAAAATCTATCTATGTTTAAAAGGCTATTTATTCACCTTGCACTGTAATTCATTGTATTATCTAATGGACCCCAATACTCAACACACAAATCTAATCCCAAAGAATTATCTTTGTACAATTTTGCAATAGACAACAAAAACATTTCAAAATCATAGGATAAATGCTGCGGAGGTTCTAATCCTTCTTGGGTGTACATATCAATAGTTCTAGAAGTTTCATCAGCCTTTGCTCTTAACTCCATTATTTTAGAATACTTCAATTCAATAAAGTCAGTTAGTAAGTTATGCATTCTTCTATAGAAAAATTCTTGTTTATAGATTGATTTATTTTCTAAAAGTATATTATGCATGAAATCAAATACTTTCATTTCTATTGATGTACTTATTAATTGATCATCTTGATCTAAGAGTCCAGGGGGATGCAATGAGTTTGGAGATAAGCGTAAAGCAGATAATGCCAAACCAAAAGAATATAAGGCTAAAGCTCGTAATCCTTCACATTCCCATTTTGTATTGAGAAGATTTTCTAAGATATCAGCTATAAAGCCACTTTCAGAAACAATAGGCAATGATTCAACTAATTCTTCTCCATCCTCTCTGTTATGCAAAACACTTAAATCCAGGGCATATAATAAAGCCATCATTAAATTCAAAGTAACATCATCCAAAGAACTCGTCTCTTCTATTTTGACATTTTTAAGATAGTTGATTAATTCTAAAGTTGTTTCTTTAGGCAATCCAGTTTGTGCAGACCAACTATATAAAATGCCAGCTAAATTGACTCTGGTATCTTCAAACAAATCCAGAATTTGTTTATGATGTTTTGGAGGCCCTATTCCTCTATTTTTTTGTAATAGCTCAAGTTCTTTTGAAATATCGAGACTAGTTAATAAATTAATTATTTTATTTAATAGTCCAGAGTTTACTAATTGATCAGTATAGATTGTTACTGTTTCTGTAAGAGTGTCTGGACACTGAGTACACCAGGAAACACCTTTCCTCGATTGAACTAAGATTCGGAGAGCAGAAACAATCGCCTTGCGTCCATCATAGTATAGAAGAATTGCTACCAAACCTCGTGGTAAACCTATAAAAAATTAAAAAGAGTATAAAGTTAAATGCTTCAAAACCCTATTTTATTACTATTTTATCAAATAAATGGCAAGTGTATTTGCCAATTAGTATGTTTACCAGGATGATATGGCATTTGTCGCTGTGCTGTACATAACAATTGCAATGATATGTATTCATTGAGATCATACATATCTGATATAATAATAGCTTCATCAATAAGTTCTTTTGATAATATTGTATGACCCACTCCAGGTAATATAATTCCTGTGGTGACAGCGGCACACAATTCATCTCTGCAGGCTGCTGACTTGGGCTATAATATAATAAAAAATAATAACTTTTAGCCCATAAATGAAATTCAATATATATTGTTCCTCGTACAGGATTATCTAGTAATGAAACAAACTGTTGTCTGTGCTTCCTCAAGATAGTTTCAAGCTCGGTATTAGGCCCTTCAGTAAAATTTGTTAAGTGTTGTTCAATAATTGAACAAAGCTCTTTGTGGGATGTCCACATATCATCGTTCACAGCTAAAAAATTGTAGAAAATAGTAGTAGTATTAGTAGAATAGATAAATATTTATATTTGCACTACAACAGAAGTTGATAACAATACCTTCAGACATTTTTAACATATACAATTAAACAAGGGTTAATAAATATTTAATATTACATCAAATAATGCACTGAGAATGAAATTTTTGCCTCCATAACCTAAACAACGGTCAGAAATCTCAGAAGCATACAAAACATTTCAAATGAAGTAACCACATTAGTAAAATGACAACTAGCGCCATTGTGAATATCTGTGGGTTAGCTAAGGCTCTTAGCACACTGTTGGTAACAGCCATTTCCTTTTCTATGATAAGCCATAGCCATAGATAAAAAAGCATAAACGGTAACAGCCATAGGTAATATCCTAACGCAGATTTGCTACGTTATCATACTATTCCATTTCTTTTCAATATATTGAGTCCCATCACCGTGTTTTAAATAAATTAAACTCGAACGGAAATCACCAGGAACAATAAAACTTTTCGTTATCATTTTGCACAGAACCAAACGTTCGTGTGTGTTACGGCACTCAGACAGAAACCAAAGATGGTTTTGTCAAGAGTGCTGACAAACACTAGAGACACCTTCTAATGACAACGTTTCGAAATCATTCATTTATTTGACATTTGGGTTATCGTGCGGGTCGTATGTAATTTTTCATTCGCTGGGGATTGCACGTTAATATAAAAGGACATGATTTGTATAAAATAATTCTTAGATTATTAATACTTATTAAATTAAAATATCACTATGAGTCAACCTGAACAAACGACAACTGATGAAAATGCCCCGGCGGTCGCTGAGGGCGAACCTTCGGTAAAATAATGACATGCTTAATTAAAATGAATAAGTTTTAAATAAATATACCTTGCCAGGTTTAAAACCAGTATGCTTTTTTAGATGTTATTTCAATTTCATTAAAATATAAAATATGAAATTCATTTTTAACAATATAAGTACAAAAAAATTCTGTATGACTTGGCAAAATTACATTTTTGATATCTCAATAGACAAATTTATAATATTTTATTTCAATTCTTGATTTGTTTTGTTCACTTTTCAGTTTGATGATCAAGTTCGTACTCAGAGAGAAAGAATGCAACCAACCAAAATGGAATCTTTCATGGCTATGATGAAGTCATTTTTGCTAAGAGCATTATTTATTTATTTTATAACATCATTTTTACGCCGATCTTCACAGCCTGCAGACACAAGTACAGAATCAGCTGGTGCTGGTGCTGGTGCAGATCCATCATTACGGAGGGCAGCTGAAAATGCATTTTTAAATGGAACCTATTTTGACCTACATGTTTACTTATCAGAGAGTGATATTCAAGACTTCACACAATATGATTTATTGTGGAAACAGCAAAGTTTGGTTTATGGTGATTGGTACTCCGGTGAAAATTTTGATGGAACATATAGTTCAAATATACAGATAAAAACTACAAAGAACATGAGAAATAATGGTTCATTTTACTTGCATGTATATGTTACTTATAAAGACATATCACCTGATCCAAGTAAAGGAAATGGGTATAATACCAACATGGGCTATACTGTACATCGCCTAAACAAATATAAAAAATTAAGGTATGTTCAAACACACAACTTGTTAACAGGCGAATCAGAAAAGTCTGAAGAAGAACTAGAAAAATCTAAATACATGAAGGAAGAAATTTTGTCACATTGGCATCCAAATTTAACAATAAATTTAGTTACTGACCATACCAAATGGGTTCGGGGATCTGTTCCTTCACCTTTAGATGAACATATTCACTTTTTACCGGGCAACCGATATGCTCCTGTGCTTTTTGTGAATGACTTCTGGAACATGATCAGAGATTATAAACCAATAAATAGTACAACTGATGAATTAGAATTACATCTGACCTATCAGCCTCTGTCGATGATCAAATGGCAAATGTATTCAGCACAGACAATGAGATCAAAGTGGTCAGGAAATATATTTAGTACAGATGAAAATGAAGAGGATCAAGATTCTTTGAAGGAAGCACTTCTGGATACAAATCCTTATTTATTAGGTCTAACAGTAGTAATTTCAATTCTACATAGTGTTTTTGAATTATTAGCTTTTAAAAATGATATACAATTTTGGAATAATCGAAAATCTTTAGAAGGATTATCTGTACGATCTGTATTTTTCAATGTATTCCAATCAGTTATAGTTCTTTTGTATGTTCTGGATAATGAAACAAATGCTATGATAAAAATAAGCTGTTTTCTAGGACTAGCAATAGAAATCTGGAAAATACAGAAAGTCGTAGATATAAGTATAAATAGGGATCATAAAATCCTTGGATTTCTACCAAAAATTAAATTTACTGATAAGGGATCATATATCGAGTCAAGTACAAGACAATATGACCAATTAGCATTCCGATATCTTTCATGGTTGTGTTTCCCATTACTTGTTGGTTATGGAGTATATTCATTATTGTACCAAGAGCATAAAGGATGGTATTCGTTCACATTAAATATGTTATATGGTTTCTTATTGACATTTGGATTTATAATGATGACACCACAATTATTCATTAATTACAAAATGAAGAGTGTTGCACACCTTCCATGGAGAATGATGTCATATAAATTTTTAAATACTTTTATTGATGATATTTTTGCTTTTGTGATCAAAATGCCAACAATGTACAGGCTGGGATGCTTCCGAGATGGTGAGTACAATTACAAAACCTTTAATACAATGGATAAAAGTATTTTATCAGATGTGTTATATATTGTATTCATGATCAAATTTTTCATTTCATTAAATTAATGTTTATTTCTAAATTTTCCAGATATTGTATTCTTCATTTTCCTGTATCAACGTTGGATATATAAGGTTGATAAATCAAGAATCAATGAGTTTGGTTTTTCTGCCGATATGGAAAACGAAGCAAAGAACAAACAGAATGGAACATTAGCTATTAATGAAAGTCAGGAATCTTCTTCGAATGAAAATAAAACAGAAGCACAAAAGAAAGATGACTAATAAAACATCTTTTATAGTGAATTAATGCCAATTTCCATATTTTCATTGTATTTATTAAAATATTCATATTCTTTTAGTCCCAAAACGTTTCAAATGAATTTATTTGAAGATATATTCTTTATATTCAAATTCCTGATAAACATAAACCAAATGAAAATGTTATTGTATATGATGTTTATGTTGTAGAAATGTGATCATCATTGTTATTAATATGTCAGTAAGCTATTTAAATAAATTGTAGTAAACATACCTGATGTTTTAATGTAATTCTGATATATTGTGATCATTCCATAATATATAATAAAAAAATATATTCACACTTATAAACATTACTTCAAAATCAAAAAACTTTTCTTTTTTTTCTTTTTTTTTCCTTTTGATTTTGCTAAATTTTCTTCTTTATAAGCAAACATGCTTGGTAAAATACCTAGTCTCTTGTGTTCCTATAATCAAATTCAATAATATGTATATTGATATGTTGTTTCAAAGTAAATAAGCACAAAGGGAAAACTAAATGGTTTAAACTTACCGGAGTAATGATAAATGGATCAATTGGATTCCACATGGATTCCTCCAGAGAAACTTTATCCAAGGTAACATTTTCATATAATTGACGTAAATCCAGCTGCGTATTGCTGGAGTCACAACTGAAAAATCAATAACAATCATTAAAAAAATCTGCAACTAAAATCATTAAGAAGAAAGCAACCCAATCTAAGAAATATGTACATGCACAATAATAAAATGATTCCAATAAGTATCTCATAAAAGTGTCAAATATAATATTGTTTAAAAATAAAAACCAAAAATAAAAAATGATATATATATATGTAATAATTTTACCTATTATCTGCCATGTATAATTTTGCAGCTTCTGCCATCTTCACATCGTGCTTCAAAATATAGGAGCCAGGTAACAAAGAAGAGTGCATGATATTTAAGAGCCGAAAAAGACGATTTAGATTTTTTTTTGGATTATGTTTGTGTAATCGTAAGACTTCATTTGTTACTCCATTTAAATCAAGCATTTCATGCATTGAAATCCGGGAAGAATCATGATACATTCGAACTGTAATAAAATATTTAGTATTCAGTAATTTTTCAAGTGTAAAAGTACAATAATTAAAATTTTTTATTGATTAATATAAGTAGACTCTTATGTTTATTTGCATAATATCACAAAGAAGTCTATAATTATTTCCATTTGAAATTATTACCTCTAAGTAAAGTTGTATCAGGTTGGAAAAACAAAGAACACCACTGTCTGATGCTCTCACTAAGACTACAGCATTCAGCTCCAAATTCTGTTTGATATTCCAACTTTGGCATCAATATTACTTCTTTTTCAACTTCACCAATTTTCTAGAAATACATATAAAGACATTACAAATATCCAACTAAAACTAGAACTAAATCCTACTCACCACTTTACCGTGTGATTTAGTTCGTATTAGAAGCTTTAATTCTTTACTACTATTTTTTTGTAACAAAGATGTTTCAGCATCAGACTTCTCAATTAACTTCCACATTCTGTAAGTTGTAAGAGGATCAGATATCTCTTTATATTCAACATCTTCTCCTGTAGAAAGTCTACGTTTTTTGTTTTCTACATTTTCAGTATCTGCAAAGTTGTTACTGCTAATACTAATAGTCTCATTTTTTATTAAGTTTCCTGGTAAATCATTACAATATTCTTGCATATTTTTCATTTCCAATGCTGCACTTTTTATACTTGACTTATTACAACTTTCAGATTCACTGACATTATTTTCTTTATTCTTATAACGAGTTGATGGGGATCTAGAACGTCTACTACTTATAGATGTGTAACTTGTGTTTCCTGGGGAATCTATTGATAAAGATTCTGATGATGCATTTGCACTTCTGGATTTTGTCATGCTCCTGGTAACTCTTTTATTAGAAAATGTATTACATGCTTCAGTATCAGTACTATCATAAGCTTCATCAATTAATAGATCATCAGAATCTGAATCACTGTTATCATCACTACCATCTTGATTTTTAAGTGAAGAAATATTGTTATTAGGTGTCCTTAACTTGATTTCATGATCATTACATTTATTATCTTCACTTTTGACAATGTTTAGGTCAATTTCTTTATTATTGATGCACTCTTGATTTTCAACAGTAATTATTTTTTTATTCATAATGCCATTTTCTGTATTTTCAGTGCAAACCCCTACATCGTCAGTAATATTGCATGGACTTTTAGGGCAATATGTGACATCAACATTTAAACTTTTACTGCTATTGTCAACATCTTTTGCATGTTCCTGTGGCTCTTTTTTTATATTATCTTGATCTTTTTCTGAGTGATCTTCATGAGTATCTTGAACTGAATGAATATTAATTTTAGAATCAGAAGTGTTGTACAGTGGTTTTATGCAAGAATCACTACAACTTTCATCCTCACTTTTTATTAATTCAGTTTTCACTTTCCTTTCATAGGCAGCTCTAATAAAATAAAAATTTATTATCATACTAGAAAAATGTTTGTAACAGCTTAAATTAAATTTACCTTCTTTGCAATTTTTCAAAACCAAATATAGTACTAGTTTTTAATGATATTTTATTAGCCCATTGATTTTGTTGATGAATTGAATACCTGAGTGAAGGTAAAGGCTTTTCCACAAAGACCACTTTTTGTTTCTTGTAATCTAAAACAGCAATTATAATAACAAATTTATATTCACAGATTAACTCAAGGGTATAACTAGTACAAAATATTATTATGACTAGATTTAATAAAATAATTAATGAAATAAATACTATTTAATTTGATAGCAGACTATCAGTAAATGCTGTACTGACTGTACTAAATATCTAAAATTTATATAAAAAACTAGTGGAGCGCATGGCTTCGTGCTTTAAAGCAAATTGCTGGAACTTCCCGTACCGTAATTAAACATTCGAGAAATGAAAATAATCAATAATCGTTTTGAATAATTTCAAATAGATTATTTACTATAAATGCTTGCTGTAAACTTATAAGTGCTTTTTAAATTGTATGTTTATAAGAAATTTGTTCTTTTTTTTTTATTTTAATTTTTTTTGATAATTTTGTTAGAAGTTTATATTTTTTTTAAAAAAAACGTTTTTTTTTAATTTTTTGAAAATATTCGATTTTTTTGAAAATTTCGGAATATTAACAAATTTTTGTAAGAATTTTTTTCTTTTAAATTCTGATATTTTTTGAAATTTTCCAATAAGAACAGAGGTCAACAGCATAAAGCATTTTCGTTATGTATAGAGTTAAATAACACAATATGTAAATTAATAAAAGTAATAAAAGTAATAAAACACCTTACCAACATCGAACTCCTTAATAACTATTGGTATGATCCATTCCCTGCAATATTTTGGTGGATGATTATCTAATAAACATTTTAAACCACTTGATGATATCACAATATTAGCATTGTATTTTATTGCCATATCGATACAGACTTCATCTTCACTCACTAAAATTTTTGAGAAAAAAAAAATCTTAAATTTCGCATTCAATTTAAAATAATGAAATAACAGAGATGACATATTTCTAAAACAATACCTGATACTTTTGTCTTGTCATTTCTACTTTTTATTGCTTTTGATTCCAAGGTGTTGCAATCATTTATACATTTAGAACAAGAATTAAATTCATTAATATCTAAAAGCATCGACTTTCCATATTGATGGACTATATTTTCTGGAAAAATATCAATACAAGTTTTCTGTTGACTTTTTAAATTATTTTCTAGGGGAAGCATAGTCATGACCTTATAATTTTTGGGATAATTAGAAACACGATTTTGTTGCCATCTAAAATTTAGTTATCTAATTTAGAAAGCAAATATAAATTGTTTCAAATAGAAAAGTTCATAAAATTACCTCCAATAAAGTTTAATAAAATTCTTCAAATCAGGCTGAATATAAATCAATCTTTCTTTGTTTTTCCTGTTCCATATATTTTCAACATATTGTGAAAATTTTGAATACTCAGAAAATCGTTTCTTCTCTGAGTTCTGCAGTTAAAACATAACAATTAATAATGGTCAGTTTAATTAATAATAAAAATAACATAATTTGTACTGAGCAAAGATTGTCTTGTTCAGTTATAAATAATAATCTTATACCCAACAGTACCATAAATACTGAAACATCTGTTTCTTCCTCCAAAGTTGGTTTACAGCCAGATGTAATGATTTCGAGTCCTCTCAAACATTGCTCATGTTCTGCTTTTTCCAATAATGATTGTTGAACACGCACAAGTGCAAATTTTCTATATTTTTGTTTATATGTATAAGTATAGCTATTATTTTCTAAAAATTTGCTTCTTAATAAATCCAAATCAGATGAATCGCACTCTGATTGATTAAGGAAACATTCAGGAGGTAGAAATTCATCATATGAGAGTTTGTAATGTGCAGAGGTTTGCAATACTTCATCTGTTATTTTGATGTTATTGAAATGCAGGCCGTAAGGTCTGAAAAGATTCCGCAGATTAATAAAAATAACTATATAATTAATTTGCTATTTAAGAAAGTTATACTAAATTAAATTCTATAATTAAGCATGGGTATGAATGTGGTAGAAAACATCAAGGAAAAACACAAATATATGTTAGTACATTAACTTTCCTTATAAATTTGTGGACAGTGATTATCGACATACAGTAAATTGATTCACATAAAAAAATAGTTAACAGCATTTTTCCATTTACTTAATATTAAAAAAAAAATACAATTCTAAATGATATAGCAACATATATAGAAGAAATAAGCTAAAACAACTTAAAATTATTATTGAAGAAGATTAGTTAATGCAATTTGTTAACTGAACAATTATCAAACAACGTGGTACTAAATACTTGAATATATAATGAATAATTTCATCAAAATTAAATATTAACTTACATTTGAACAAAAGAAAAGTCTGAGAAAATATCCCTGGGATCTGTGGTTTTATTTTTCTTTTTCATTTCTCTCTTCATAATTTTCTTTTTTTTCTTCTTTTTCAAATCTTTTTCTGCTTCATCCATTATTTACAAATACTATTTATTATTTTTCGTGATTTAATTCAAATATATATTTTTATTTTAAACGCTCTGATTCACTCTGATTATTGTGTAATTAATTTTATTACATTATATCATTTTTGTATTCACTATGTTATGAATCAAATGCACATAACCTAAAATTCTTGATAAATACAATACAAGACACATTAGCTAAATTGACAGCTACACAACGATTTGCCGTTTTCGCAAAGTTTTGCCGTTATTTTCAAATTTGACAAAAACCAAGAAATTTCCCGAATTTTCTATTTATTGCTAAATAATGAAATATCAAATTCAAAGTCGTTTTATTCAAAACTTTCATATCGGACTGTATATAACTGTTTTCATGGAAATGTAGTAAATTTTATCTAGTTCATTCTATCTAACTGACAAAAATCAAAAAAATGTCCCAAAATTTTCTATTTATTGCTAAATAATGAAATATCAAATCCACAGAAATGTAGTAAATTTTATCTAGTTTCACCCAATCTAACTGAAAAGGGGTGTTTTCATATTAAACTTGGAGTAATTTGACAAAATTTATTGCTAGAAGTCTCCCACCAATATTTTTTCATAAATAATAAAACCATAATTTAAGTAATTTAAAACAAATTTATTTTAAAAATGTTTTGCTACGACATTCTAATATAATGAATTACTCAATAATTTTGTGTTTTATTCTACACAATCTACAATTTATAATTAATGGTATTTCAAGAGTTTTCAACTAAAACCTTCCATGTTACAAAAAAGGTAAAACATTGACAATTATAAAATCAACAACCGTGAACAACAGTCCTGATTATTCATAACATATCAATATAGGTAGATACAAAAGTCGTGTAAGAGAGTAGGTAATATAAATTTTTAGCATTAAGCATATTTCAACATATTATATATACAATTAAAGAAACACTGGGCTTCCTGATATCCATCTGATATAATAATGGCAGGATAACTAAATATAAAAAAATTTAAATCCTTTTTTAAATTAGCTAATTAGTACTTGTAAAATATAGCAACCGCCTTGAGATCCATGCGTTCCTCCTTGTTTACTCATTCAATTTTGTATATTATAATAAACAGAGGAAAAAAATGCATGAAACTTTGACAATAATATTCAAACTAAACTCTGATAATATTATAACTAGATTTTCTTGTACTTAATATCTAATTTCTAAATTTGTATGTACTTTGTAGTTTGGGTTATAACACACATTTATGTACATGAAACTTTATAAAATTAAAGTGATAATCAAAATTATATTAATGAGTACTCTTTAGCGTACGACCTGATCTATATTGCAATTTTAAGCTTAATTAGTTTTTGTAGTCATACTTATAAATATATATAAAATTGTTAAATTTTGTAATATTCATATAATACATATGTTTTTTTTAGTTTTATAATTTGAGTGAAAACAGTCATTTCCAAAACTATATTCTTTTTTGATATTTATATCATTTTTATGACAATATTCTTGCATATCACATAAATAAAAGAAACAGAATAATATACCAGATGTTATGATAAAATGTAATGATTTCTGTCTCTGTGCTTTGATATAACATTATAATATTCCCATTCTTTCGTTGCAGATACATCAAGCACACATTCGTTATTCATTCCTACATATAGTTTATTAATAAAATTTAAGTTAATGTTAGAAATTCTATTAGTCACTGGTCTTAATTCATGAGATAAAAAATAATATTCAAGTTAATCTCAACATTAATACTAGCTTATTTTCCTGTTCTGACCTTAACACAACGCGACTTCAAGCTCCTTCGTGATTTCTTTGCTAAAGCACCTTCTCCCAGAGAGCCAGCGGACGCCTCTTCGATTTTTCTTTTAGAAGCCTTGGGTGAATTTGTAACGACAGCATCAGTGGCTTTGCTACTACTGGAAATTGAACAGTCAATATCTTGGTCTTCAACTTTAGCTTCAACCGATTTCAATGTTTTTGTTTCTGCAGCACTACTTGGCAAATGTTCTATTGTATTTAAAATCACCTCCTTCTGTTTATCTTCCTCTAAATTTTCTTCTGGCAATTTAGAGGTGTTTTCAAACACTGAATCATTAGAATCACGACTGAAATCTAAACCTACATCCTCAGGCTTTACACCTTGGTTTACAAGAGCTTTCAACTCATCCGAGTTCAATAATACATTTGTTCCACAGGTTTTACAGAATGGTGGATTAGCCGGGCTATTCGATTTCCAATATTGAAGTTCAGTTTTGCATTTGTTAAGCTCCTGCAGCAGAGTAGAAAATTTCCGCGACGTCTCTTCATTTTTCTTATCATTTTCATCAAGCCGTGTTGCGTATTCAAGTGTCTGTTTTTGTTGCTCAGCAAGTTGCTTTTGCTGTTCAGATATCTGACGCTGTTGTTCAGCCGTTTTTCGTTTACAGCTGCGTAACTCATTGCGCAATAGGGTTAGTTGACTGTTGTATCTACAATATTAAAAAGTAAGTATCAATTTTGGTGGTCACCGAAATTCTAAAAAAACTAGCTGTAAGTGGAATTCTGTCTTAAGGCAATTAGGGCATCGTGCCTTAAGGCAAATTGCTGGAACTTCCCGTACCAAAAATTATTATTTTTTTTAAAAACGATTAACATTTTTGAAAAAAAATTACTTCGAAAAAATAAGATTTTTAAGAAACTATAAATTTGACAAAAAATTACTTTTTTTTGAAAAAAAAAATTGAAAAAAAATTATTTAAATTTTTTTTTTTAAATCTTTTTTTTTGAACAAAAAATGTTTTCTTTATTTTGACATATGTTGGAAGATCTGAACTTTTTTTCAAAGCAATCGTACTGCTTTAAATGCATAGAGACAAAATATAAAGCGCGTAAGCGCCGCGTCGCTGTCTAACGGGTAAACATTGGTACGGAACCCATAGGAATGTAAACAAAATTCATACTTATTGTTAAAATCGCTATAAAATATCTGATAATTTGATGTGCATATGTCTAATGATCATTTTTGACCGCCAAATGGCATTTTTTTTTACTTTTTTCGTTATATCTCCGAAACCGCTAAACCTGCCCTTATAAAAATTTGATCAAATCTTGACGTATTAATGTGTCTTTAAAATTAAATCTTGAATTATTAAAATCGGACGCTCCGTTCTATTAAAAACTGAGGTACCGTTTTTGGCACTTTTTGCCCCATATCTTCGGAACGGCTAGACCTACCTCCGCCAAAAACTAATCAGCACATCTCCTTATCAATACGGATCGAATGCTTTTTAAATTATTCAAATTGCTTCATCCGTGTTCCCGAAATCGTCGACGAAAATTTGTATCCGCACACACATACATACTACGCACACACACACACACACACACATCCATTTTTTCTAAGGTATGCCAAAATATTCAGAAACCTCTGAAACGTAAAGATATATAAAAATTTTCATTTTCGATTTTTTTTGCGATTACTATAACTTACCCTACGGGAAGTTAAAAATGATGCGTAAGCAGAATAGATATTTTTATTAATTTCCCAAAATTAACACACTTTGAACGTTTTCTCATAGTTTCAAGTCATTCTGAATCAAATGAAACCAAACTTGAAAAAAGTATTTGTTCAAAAATAAGTTCAAAGTTAAAATTCATAAAAAAGCTAAATACTCAAAGTACAAAAAGAACTATAATCAAAAGTAAGTTAATTTAACCAACCTTTTCATCCCCTGTTTAATCTTGTGTATACGGTTTCTCAGCACCATATTAGTACGTGGAAGAGTACGCCTAGAACCCGAACTAGCCCTCTGATCCACCATTTCCCGCGGATCGTGGGGGTCCGGCGAACAAGGAGAACCCTGTTTTGAAGCGCACCCATCATGCGTGGTGACGAATCATGAGAATGCACAGGTGATTGCTCAGAAGACAGACAGAGATAGGAATTGCTAACTGATCCACCTGAAAAAATATATAAAATTATGAACATTTGAATAAAAATGCATTATCAACCTAAAATCTGTGAAAATGCTATGAACTCAGATACGATGTTGACAGCAGAGCAGTAATTTTCACTCCAGCGGCTTATGACTCTGTAATAAAATATGTACACACCTGTAAATGTACCTGTGAAATCCAGAAAATCTGTTCCAAAATATGCTATTTCTGGCAGGGCAGGCTCAATTCGCTCTTTAAAATACTCCATGGCCATAGTGCTCAGATCAAATAATTCATCAGTTACTTTGTAAGGACGTGCAAGCTTCTGAGTTACACGAATGTAGTGCAATATCCTGTACACCTCATCCAGAATCTGCAAAATATAAACATATATACATCCACCGAATAAAAATTATTCATTATGTATATGTTACGGTAAATGTGCACATTC